CGCAGGGGAGGAGAGGGCGTACTTGAGCAGAGCCGTCAGCGCTTTTTCAGTCCCGTGACTTCTCTCTACCCACTTCAGCACCCGGTTCCCGGCCAGGAAGAGCAGGTTGGTTTTGTTCTTTTTCCCCTTCTCGGTGCCCAGAATCTTAATCACCTACGTGAAGAAGGGAGTAACGCATGCACACATGGGCATAAGCCACCACGCATCTTGGAGCCTGCGTGGGGGAGAGAGCCCACACTCCGCCCAGTCCTGAAGCAAGGAAGGGGACGATTGCCCTGAGCATCCCGCAGCAAGGGCCCTCCACACACCACTGCCAGCCGGGCAGGGGGCTCCCCACTCGAGTCCCTTCCTCTCCTACCTGCAGGTCACTGAGATTGCTGACGTGGGTCCCACAGCACATGTTGGAATCAACGCCCTCGATGGTGATGACGCGAATGGGTCCCGAATGATCGTCCGGCAAACCCCGGCCCCTCACCTGGAATAGAGGGAGAGGACCTGTCTGAGTTTTGAGGGCCCTCAGAGGAGGCCATCCAGCAGGGCCAGCGCCCTGGCTCGCCCCTCACCTGCTCCACCTCCGGATCGGCTAGGCTCAGCTCTCGCACGCTAACGGGCAGCCGGTCTCGGACCTTTTCATTGACGCTCTGCTCGATGACAGCGACCTGCTCCGCAGTCACGGAGGGGCTGTCCAGCTCAATCACACTCCGGAGGCGTCCCAACTCCCTGCCAGGGGAGGCAGAGGCGAGTCACGGGAGGCTGCTGCTCACGGGGACGAGAATGACAGGCCAAAGGGCCACGGGCTATGAAGAATGCTGAGTTTCATCCTCACCAAAGGCCTCACTCCAGCTTGGCTCATAAGGACCCTAAGCCTCGGACGGATACTAGGAATGTGATCAAGGTCAGACAGCCGGTGGGTGGGGCAGACAGGATTCGCCCCCAGTTCGCTGGGCTCCAAATTCCAGGTTCTTCCCTGAGACCAGGTAGCTGTTTCTCCTCTGAGCATTGTGTTTCCCGGCCCAGAGAAGCCCAGGCCACCCCCGCCCCCTTCCCCACCACCCCTTCTGTCATGGCTCATTTTACTCAACTTGGCTGGGTGATGGTGCCCAGGTGTTTGGCCCAACACTAGTTCAGATGCTGCTCTGGGGCAGTTAGCTAATGTAGTTGCTACATCAGGTGGCTTTAAGTAACAGTTACCCTCAGTGATGTGAGTGGGCCTCAACCCATCAGTTGACGGCCTTCTGAGCAAAAACTGAGGTTTTCCAGAAAAGGGCTTCTGCCTCAAGGCTGTCACACAGTAAACCCCAGTGTCCAGACTGGTAGCCGGTCCGAGTAGTTCAGGCTTACGAGCCCCTACAGTGGCACGAATCAACTCTTTCCATCACTTTCTATACATATATGTAGAAGCTTGGAAAAGCTTGTGGGAAAATGGAATTAGAAGACAATGGAATCTTTCCACGAGCTTTCTGAAGGCCCCTCAAGGGGCCTATTGGTCCTGTGTCTCTGGAAAATCGCACCTGGAAGCCCACTCTTAAGGGGAAGGGAGAACCCAGGACAGACTACGAACACTCGCCTTCCGCGCATCCTCCCAAGCCCAGGCCCACGCCTGAGAGAGGAATTCATGGCTCTCACGCCTCCCACTCACCACGAAGTCGTCTTCCACCCAAACAGATGGTCAGCCACGGCTGTGATGAGATGTTGCCCTGAGCAAAGAGAGCACAAAGCGGGCGAGGCGTCAGCACCCCAGGCAGCCACGGCCTCTCCCACCGACACAAACAATCTCACTTGCCGAAGCTCAGACTGCCAGGCACTGAGCTCTTCAGGAGCCTTATGGACAACCTTCCCAAGAATCCCTGCAAGAGGCATGATGATGTCATGTGAGGAAACGGAGGCTTTGAGAGATCAAATGACTTGTCAGGGCAATGTGGCTTATCAGAGGCAGAACCAGGATTCGAACTCAAGCTCTAATGTGTTGCACTCACTCATTCGACAGTATTTACTGAGTGCCTGTGGTAGTTACATAACCTGGTGTCCATTTGAGGATCAAGAGTGTAGGGGTGGAGTCTAGCCTGTCAATTGGGATATAGCCAATGAGGCCTCTGTGTAGGCATGGCCTTCTGAGGATTCTGGGAACTCCTGTATTTTTTCCTTGGAGACAGGAGTCTCTCGCTCTTGGCTCACTCCCTTAGAGATTCTCTACTGACAAGACACATGGCATTACACTGATAGACCCCGTGCCCTTGGGAACTGGAGGAGCCATGTGGAGACTCCTGCCAGCACTGAGATGCTTCTACCACCACTGGATCCACAAGACTTTGCACCCACTGGTCTGCGATGTTCCTGCATTCCGCGTCATTGCATGTGTTGCATGAGTCTGAAGAGGACTTTATCGATTGGTATCAGACATATGGGCTAATATCAGATTTATGGGCTTGATCAGGACAGGGCTGGGATGTTCTCTCAATATTAAATCGCTCTTGTATATAAAGCTCTTTCCTATACACATATGAGTGTCTCCATAGATTTGTTTCTCTTGTCTACTCAGACGAACAGTGCCCACCACATGCAAGGCACAGGGCTTGGCATTGGAGATCCAGCGGTGTCCCTGGCTGATGATGACAAGGAGGAGGAATTCATCCCAGGACAGCAGCAGGAATGAGCCTTGAGTGAGGACAGAGGACAGCAGCCTGGGGGACTTAATGGCTGCGATGAGGTGTTTGATTTGTTTCACAAAGAGCCACAGAAAGTCTTGGAAGAGCTTTAAGCTGGGGTATGACATGATCAGATCTTCCTTTAGAAAACAAAATAAACAAAACAGGATTCTGGCGGTTGTGCAGAGAATATGGGAGAAAAGATGAGGCTGTCTCCTCCTGTAAAGATCTACAGCTTCGGAAACCTGAGGGAGTTCTACTCTGGCCCAGAGGGTCGCTGTGGTTCAGCATCGACTTGCTCTCCGGGGGCTTGATGTGGAGAGCGGGCTGCAGAGGAGCAAGCAAGACTAAGAGTGGGGACACCAGCTCGGAGGCCCTTAGGGGCCCAGGGCAGAGTGAGAAGAGCTCAGACGAGGGTGATGGTCCACACGGTGAGGGCAGCGCAGAGAAATTGAAAAGCTAAGTGAACAGGGCTCAACGGCTCTCCCCAGTGACTTCCACAGTTGTGTGGCTCAGGACACCGCGTACTGAGCTAGAGGATGCTGCCTGAGCCCGAAGCGGGAGGGGAGAGCTCCAGTCCATTTGGGCATGTTAGGTTTGAGTGGCCTGCAGGACATCCAGCTATCAAGCGGGAAGTTCATAAAATCTAGCAGCGATTCTACTATTTTTACTTCCTCTCTTGCTTTGGGGGCCCAAATCAAAGCAAATTCTGCACACGGCTGCCTCTTCCCACAGATCAACTTCTAAAGCAGCAAAACCCCTTCTCAATCGTCCATCGGTGCCCCCGCCCCTCTTCGGCTCCACCTACCTGAATGCTGCTGCATGTGATCAAACCTCCGCTCCCAGTCCACCTGCACCTGGACCCGGCTCCCGGGGGTCAGGGGCGTCTGTGTGAAATGCTCAGCCTGGGAGCCCTGGCGGGTCACTCTCAGCACAGTGACGCCATCGATGGTGCCTCGGTCGTCCGGCTGGGGGCAAGAAGAACGGGTCCTCAGTCGTGGGAGGCAGGACGCGCCCTAACAACGCCGCGGGAGGGCCCGGGTGGGAGGGGCGGACCCAGAATTCCATCTCCCCAGGGGAAGGGCAGGGGGGGCGGGGCTACTGTGTCCTCTTCTGCTGTCCGTTGATTGGAACAGAGTAACAGGATTCCCAGAGAACCAGAGGAAAGGGAAGAAAGCGGCTCTGAAGCACGGCTGCGGTCCAGAAGGGACTCGCGGGCCGGGCCGAGCGCGGGGCAGGCGGTACCTGTCCCCCGCCCTCGGGGAAGAGCAGCGTGTCCTCCAGCACCACGCGGAAGCCGCTCACCACCTCCTTCTTCCCGTGGCTGCCCTCGGCCTGCCACTCCGCGGGGCGGCAGGAGACCACGGTGGTGGTGAGCTGAGGA